ATTCTCACTGTCAATTCTAATGCCTTCTTCTTTCCGGGAAGTAACTTCCATTATTTCCATCCAGAGCTTTTCCTATGAAATATATTATAAATATAAATGGTATAAAACATGAATATGCCCCCAGACAAGTATAAATATTAGCTCGATGGTTTTGAAACTATACAATATCAAATTATGTGCTTTGTCCAGGGCCTTATTTTTATTCCTAAGTTTTAGTTTGGGGTTGTTTTCGTGTCTCCTTCATTAGAAACTCGGCTACGAGGCACACCCTCGCACAGCGCCCCTCTCATGGCCTCCCTGTGAAGCTGATGATGGATGATGCTGCATGTCCATTTATGGAGCCGTCTTTCTTCCTCACTGACTGGAGATCCTACCGTTAGCATTACTGTTTGTGTCTGTGGCCGGACTTTCTGATCTACTGAAGTCTTCTCAGTCTAAGCTCATTTTAATTATCGCAGCTTTATAATGCACCTGTGACACCCGGTACAACGGTTTGTTTTTTCAAAAACTGTGTTGGCATATTCTTCCATATACACTTAGCTCATTCAGCTCCATTAACAATCCTGAGATTTCACTTAGATATTCATATCACGTATATTAACAGAATTACAATAATGTGCCTATGAATATATTAGTCCCCAATTTAGTAATGATCTTATCCAATTTTTGCACAAGTTGTCCTTAGGTAATTTCCTTTTTTGTTGGTACTGTGAATGGGATCATTTTCTTATAATTTTTGGTTTGTTTGTAGGAAATAACTTTTGACTAGATTTTTTGAAATATTTACTATTCTACTGTAAGATTTTGTGAAATTTTATCTAAACTCTGAAGTTACATCTTCAAAATCAATGACAGTCTTAGAACTTTTTTTTCCTGCGTTACACATTATCTTCACTTCCAAGTCGTTTGAGATACAACATAGTTGAATCTATGAGTGGTACAGCTTCTAGAATTTTATTCTCCAAGATAAATACCTTTGTAACAACATGCCGATTTTTTTCATGCAGTATCTATTCGTGACCTTCATAGAGTAATTACTAAATACAGGTTTAGTATAAACTTCAATGAAGTACAATACACATTGACATGTATAAATCTTGTATACAGCCTGGCCAATTTTCAAACTGAATCTACTCATATGACAACCTAGAAAGATCTTGATTTTCCCCAATATCCCAAAGGTAATCTCGTGCTATCACCCATCATCTCTTTGGGTCTCACGCCTCCTCTTGCTATGGGCAAAGTATCTGATACTTCCAACACGTTGGATGGGTTTTGTTCGACCTGAAATCTTGTGTAAAATGGTACCAGGTGTCCTTTACAGGATATAATTTTTGCGCTGGATTCTTTCACTGCAGATTACATGAGACGTCCTGTTATCGTATCTAGTTGGAGCGTGTTTTCACTAGTGTAGAATGTTACATTGTATGAGCAACTTCAGTTTTATCTTTTAGCTCTAGTACCGGGGGACACTCAGCCTATTTCCAGGTTCTTGGTTTTTATAAATATTGCTTGCAGGTGTATTTCTGTTGGTTGTACCCTGGAATGGAATTGTGTAACAACACACGTGTTTAACTTTACCAGATTCCTCCCTCCCCTGCATTATCCTAGTTCAGATTACCATACAGCCTTGCCAAAACTTAGAATTTTCCATTTTATTTAGTTACTCAGTTGGCTACAATTTCACTGTAGTTTTACTTGCACTTCTTATCTTATGAAGTAATTTTTTATTGCTAGTAAGACACTTTCATGTGAAGAAATGATTCAGAGTTTTCTGTTCATTCTTCTGCTCATTTGTCTCTTTCTGCGTATGAATGCTTGGTCGCTTATTGGGTATGAGTAATTTGCTAGGTACACGTATTTCACGCATCCTTCCCCCTTTGTGGCTGGCCCTTTTGCCTTAATGCTGGCTTTACTGTTTCTTAAAGAAAGGCGCACTTTACATCTACCACAACTCATACAATCTGTAAAATTCCTTTGCTTACATTTTTACCTGATTCTTCAGATGACTTCTAGAACCTAAAACTAGCTTTAGGAGATTTTTAGGTTATTTGCTATTAAAAAAGTCATCAAGATGAATCTTTAAATTTAGAGAAAATTTTTTCTTTTTCTTTTCTTTCTTTTTTTTTTTTTTTTTTTTTTTTTTTTTTTTTTTTTTTTGTACTGGGGATTGAACTCACGACCTTGCACTTGCCAGGCAGGCACTTGTGCCACTGAGCTAAATCCCAGGCAAGGGAGAATTTTTTCTAATGGGAAGAAATTTGTCTTATATTTAGGTATAGATAAGAATGCAGCCCCAGGCTAGTATTTGCAACATATAAAATCAAGTGTTACAGGCAGCTAAATTAGAAAAAAATATTATAGCTAATCAGATAGGGCTGGGCCCTCAAAGGAGCCAGTGCAGAAGATGAGATACATTTCAATTTTGGAGAGACAGGCACCTCCACTGTGGCCAGACCTCAACATGAAAGACAAAACAAGTTTGCACCCACAAACTTCTTAAGGATAAACATCAGGTATTGATATTCTAAATAAGTATCCCACCTTGAAGAAGCAGAAAGAGCCACTAACCCAACCTCCTACAGAAAGAGTCCCTGTTGTGTACTCATGCCCACCTGCTATGTGACTTGCTTTCCCACTTGCCCGATTGAATCAATTTTACCTGAGCAATTATTCTTGTAATCTTACTGGTTGACCACAGTTCTGTCCGCCTCAAGTCCACTTTGTGATTTCCCATTTTGCTGCCTCACTTTGTGGTTTTGCTCTATCGAGTCCCTAGAAAAGGCAGGGTCCTTGGCAAACTGCTTGGGACCCCTTCTGTCTCTCTCTCAGACAGCTTTCTTTCCCCCAGTAAACATGTTCTGCTCTTAACCTCCATTATTCCTAAAATTCATTCTTCGATTTTACAGAACACAAACATGGACGGCTAGCAGGTTGGTAGTTTCTAGTCCCTGTATCACAAGCTCAAGTTTATGGGCTTTCTGTATATCCTCAATGGTCACTTCTGTGTTATAACTGAAGATCTTTGTTATAGGTATCACTAGACATACATTAGCAATTAATTACATTATATTTAAAAGTTTTGCATTTACCCTGCAAAAACAGAAAGTTGTTTTCTTAAGATGATGTTTCAACTAGGCTATAGCACAATTCCCACCGCAATGTGTCACTAGTGTAGATATTGCTGTGAAGGAATTTTGCAGACACAAAGTTCCTAAGCATCTGATTTTAAATGAGAAAATCTGGTTGGCCTTAACACATTCCCACTGGCTTGAACCACGAGGGATATACTCATGCCTAGAATACGTTATGGCATGGGACTGTCCCATCAGCTGGTACAGGCTGCTTGATGTGACAGTCATGTATATACCATTGATGTTTCAAGCTTCTTGGGAGCAATACAATTTGTATTCTTCCTGTGAATGCATTAAAGGCAAGAATGAGACTTCCCCAGGAAAGAAACTTCATGTGTAGGCAAGTTTGATCCCATAACCAGAGTTCCCTCCTGGTTGTCAGCTTCCCTTCCTGATAGCGGGCCCGACTTCAGACTCGCTTATTGGGCTCCTGTTGTAGACCTGGCCAAGATCCCCATCTGCCTGAAGGAGGGTTACAGTGAAAGGGTAAAATAAGAGACAGAGACAATCAGCAGTGCATGATGCTGGCCGAGGTCTCAGAACGGGCAGACTCTAGCTTGCCATTATTAGCCAGCGTGTGGGGAGGGGCAGAAGTGACTGAAGAATCAGCAGTGGCTAGAGCACAACTCTCAAAAGGATGAGGCAAGGGGCAAGTTTTCCACTAGCTTCCCAGATGAAAATTTTTACTGTTGCTATCCGGTTGCGGTCCTCAGCAGGTTAGCCACGACCCACCCTCTCCAGGAAAAGCCTGTTGTTTCATGCCCTTTTGCTCTGTGGCTTGCTTCCAATTTGGTATCAGTTAAATCAATACTACCTCAGCAATGATGCTCATCATCTTATTAGTTGATAATCCTTTTGTCCCGCCTTTGATTTCCCATTCTTCCCCTCTGGATCCACCTCACCTCATGGTTTTGTTCTACAAAAACCCCTAGGAAAGGCAGTGTCCTCGGGAACCCACTCTGGGCCCCTTCTGTCTCAGACAGCTTTCTTTCCCCAATAAATATATTCTGCGCTTAACCTCCGTTGTTCCTGGAGTTCATTCTTTGATTTTGGAGAACATGAACTCATCCTGGACAGTTAGCAGGTGGGGAGCTTCCTTCTCCTATATCACTGTCTTGTGCTATGAGCGCCACACTGTCACAAGTCGCAAGGCTTCAGCTGTGATCGGAAGAAAGTAGGGGAGACCTCCTTCCAATCTGCCTCATAGGACAAAGAAGACACCAGCACCTTCTAGATTCCATTTATAATTTGTGGTCCCTGACGGGTTCCCACAATCACAGAACACAATTTCATAAACTAATTCCTTGTTTTTAAAAAAATATTCACAAAAAGGTAAACAAATTCATGAATTATCTTTCTTTTTAAAGGACACAAGATTAGAATTATTTTATGTGTAGCCCATATGACTCAATCTTGATTACTATTATTTAAACTGTACTAATTTTTATACTATCTATATTTGAACAGAACTAATTTTACAACAATCTAATGTTTCTTCCTTGATCATTAGTATTTTTTAAAATAAATTTTAAAATTTTATTTTAAAGATAATAAAACCCAACAAAACAAAGCAGTCAAAGTGGAAAGAACTTTGAAGTAGGATAATGGCTACCCTAGGGTATCTCATTATCTTCACAACAGCTGTCCATTCCATCACACACAGCAAAATCAAATAAAACAAAACGGAATAAAACCAGTCAAAACAGAACACTGGATAATACAAAACAATAAATTGGAACAAAACAGTGAGAATACTGGAATTCAGAAGCAAGACAGAAGGAAATTCCCCATATTTGTTATTGTGATTTCTTATTGAATGTTTAAAATGAGTAATCTTTGTGTTAATAGAAAAAAACCACAACTATATTACCAAAGCAAACCAGTTGTTTCAAGTTTTATTAAGTTTATAAAGAAACACAATTTGTTATTTAACAAAAAACTCAATTACTTTGCTTGATGAGTTTACCAAGTTAAATTTCTGCATATGATTAGGGAAAACCATATAATTACAATAACATATGAAATGCATGTTTCCTTCAGCCATTTCAGATTGAATCTTACTAAGTCCCTGACTTATAAACATTTGAGCTGTGAATTTTCACAGGTGAACCAATCTTCCATTAGGAACATTCCTAATTTAGCACATGTGTATACTTTAAGGTAACTGTAAAAGTACAAATAATTTACAGTATTTTTGTGTTAGGTTTTTTATGCTTTACACTGTATATTTGTGTCAAAGGTGTGTAAGACTCACTTTCATGACTTACAATGGATCTGATTTACGAATGTTCTCCAGAATGGAACTGGTTCGTAAGTCAGGGACTTATTATATAATTTTTAAATCCTTTGTTCCAGAGTTAGCATTCTATGATTTGAACAGAATTATACTCATATTCTGTGACCTGAGGATAATACAACAAAGACTTCCAAATGACAGCAAGAAAGTTGTAAATTATTAAGGTTTTCCTATGTGAACAATGGTAAAAAAATCAGAAACATGCTTTATGTATTCATTCAGAAGGTGATTCAACTGTAGAAGGAAGCTCTTTTAGCATTATGAAACCCTGTATTTAACACTCTTCTTTTCTCGGCAATTATAATCTTGCAGAGATCCCTTCATCTGAAGTTTTCATGCATTCAGGTATTTTGCATGATGTCTAATGTGATCAGCAATGAAGGTGGCAATGAAGTAGTAACCATGATCATAACCCTGGAAGACAAAATACAGAGGTGATCAGGCATTTACCTACCATTCAGAAACATCAGTATTAGGGACATTAAATGTACATCTCATCACTTAATTTGCTTATAAATAGTCAAAATATTTCAATTTAATCAAAATCAAAATTGTCACACTGCACTTTAAACTTTTCTCTTTTTTTTTGGCTTTTTCCTTTTTTTTTTATCGGTACCAGGGATCGAACTCACGACCGCCTGCTTGCAAGGCAGGCGCTTATGCCCTGAGCTAAAACTCCAGCCCCTAAACTTTTGTTTGCATATTAAAAGAGCAACAAAAATATGAACATTTCACATAGCTAAACTAAAAACTAAAAACTAAACATTTCACATAGCTCAGTTTCCAAAATTATTATTAATATTCAAAGAGAAGAAATGACACATGGATTAAATGTGTAGAGCAGACGTGTGATCATACACACAAGGATTAAAATCAAGATGTAGAGAGCTTAGAAACATACTCACTCACAAAGAAGCACACTGACATAAGTAACATGGGAGCTGGTAAAATACAAACCAAGAACACAAACAATACAAGGAAAAACATAAAATACCTGAAAGGTCCACTATTTTTTGGGAAGCTAGACATAGCCATCATCCAGCATCTTACCAATTCCACGGCCCAGATTACTAGGTAAGAGGTAGGAATAAGCAGGAGGTAACAAGGTGATGTAAGGAGGTAATGCTGGTAGGAGTGATGGATACAACCAAAATACGCTACCTACATGCATGAAAATACCACAATAAAACAAATACGCACTGATAAAATACGTAAAAAATAATTCTACCTCCTATACATGTATTTGAAGAAAAATGGATTTTTCAGTAAACTTTATGTCAAATTGGGTACAGTCAGTAAACCTTTTGAAAACATGAAATGGAAAGAAAATGTAATGTGGCAAGCAATACAGACAAACCTCAGTTTACCCAATCAGTTAAAACCAGTGTTACAAGTAAACAGAGAGGCAGCCCCTTTCGGGTGACCATGGCACCTCCCGTGAGCACAAGATAAGTAGTCTTCAGAGAAAAATTTTTAAAAAAATTTAGGTGAGAACAACTATTTAAGGGTGTTTAACATGAGATAATTTTGGAATCAACCATCTACCCTAACCACAACTGAAAAACAAGGTAGAATAAACTAGAAGAGATAAAGTCTAATAAATGTGTTTAAAGTTTTAAATTGAATTAGCAAATGGTGCCGGGGTGGGGGTGGGGGAATAGGAACTTCTCTAAACACAGAAGAAGTAAAACTAGACCTAATAAAATATCACGGTGTTTTGCCAAGACTGTGATCAATCAGTAAGTCTAAACCTCTTACTTCCAGAGAGTTAGGGCAAGCTCCTATTAGAAAAACTTATAGAGCACTACAATGAAGTCAGTCACTAAAGTAATATAAAAGCAAATTCTCTTCTTCTGTGGAAGTAAATCTAAAAGGAGGCCTGTTAAGATTCAGGCTGAGCCAAGGAATTATTTGGTGGCACATCTCGCAATAATTACACTAGTCTCAGCTGGTTAAATTGAGACCTAAAAGAAGAAATTTGAAGAAAAGCATGTTCCTGTGAAATGCAAGAAAAAGTAATGACTACTAATTTTTTTTCATAAATCAAAAGATCAATAGGATGGAAAACGCCTAGCTACAGCAAAACAGGGCTACATTAGAACTGTGTGACACACGCTCTACTGTGGCTTGGTGGGCCACACCTTCCCCTTCATTTCTCATATGCTAAGTCTTGCACAGTTCTGTATGCATGATGGACAGCCACTGCTATAGCGGGCGGCATTACTAGAGAGGTCCCAGGATAAACCAGAATGGCAATTTTGAACTTTCACAAATGCACTGCAGGATAACAGTACTGTATACTTCTTCTAAAACCCAAAGCAAATGCCCTTAACTTGATATTTGAAGAGGATCTTTATGAGAAAGTAGAAAATGCCTATAACAAGGGACCAAGAAAGATTTTTTAAAAATGTCAACATGCAAGCAAAAGAATATATCTGGACTACTGGCATTCTGCTGAACTTAGACAATTAGGAACAACTACGCTGTCTTGGCTAGTTTCATGTTTATCAAAGCTATGAAATGGGGCAGCTGCTTTCATGACATTCACGCACTGATACGCTTGTTTAGCATGCTCTGCAGCGTCTTTAACTGCCTGTATCTAGTGACACTTGCAGGGGCCTTACTTTCCTCTATCTCACACTTGAAATGGAAAAATCTGCAGCACAAAAATGACTTCTGGAGTGTAAAAATAGGCAAACACATTTTTTCCTTTTTTATTCAACTCTTAAAAAGGAAGCAGTGCCTCAGCAACTGTGACAGCTGCTTACTCTAACAGGCAGTGCTTTTCTACATATTTCCAGACTTGGGTTGTTAAATCCCTTCACAGTACAGAAAAGATAGGTGAAAGTATTCATGTTTACTTAACAAACACTGCAAGCCTGTGTGCAAACCACGGGGACAGACAGGAGTAAGGGCCCTTCATTTCTGGAATTCTGTCCTTATAGATGCAGAGGCCAAAAAAGCCTTTGATTCTTAAAAAAAGATCTTAAGGTTTGAGAAGGCAGGACAGCCTCTCTTCTTAGTCTCCAAGCACGGAATGCTGGTTTCTGGAAATTTCCTCAGTGTCAAGTCACTGAATTTTCCTGCTATATAACTTCAACAAGTAAACATACGATGTATGTACTAAGCCCTTCTTCTTCATACTAACATTTGATCTCTGTATAGAGCTACTGGAATTTTGTAACATGCTTTTTTCTTTTTCAAACAGGTTCCCTCAAGCCAAAAAATAAAAACTAACCAAACTTAGGTTCCCTCAAACCAAAAAATAACCAAATAAATGTTCCCTTGAATTAATTCCTCCCTCTCAAACAACTTTTTATTTTTTGCTGGCTGACATGCTATAAATTGTGAGCATTTAACACCATTAAAAAGAGGTAAAGCAATGAAATTAGGTAAATCATGCCATGAGTCTAATGGCTTCTTTCCTTCTTAGATCATTTATTTGCTTATTCACTGAGGCTATTTTTAGCTTTTTTCATAGCTTCTGTTTCATGAAGAAATAGTTACAGTGTACTTAGAATCAAATAATAAAACAGATGATAAAGTTCTTAAACCTGAGACGACCGGGGCCTAATAGAAGGTGAATGGAAAATCTAAAAGTGCCCTCTCAGGAATCACTGCTCAGGCAGTTCTATTTGGTTGCTGATTTGATGACAAACTTAAACGCAACCTGCCTGAGACCTGCAGTTCACCTTTCCTGACAATGGTGGAAACTGAATGAAAAATTGTCCCGAGTTCAAGGCTGCAAATGGTAAATTTAATAGTTTTCAAACTATTTTTAGAAGAATTGCCTGCTCATAAATTCCTCATAAATTCAGCCAAACACACTTTCACTGTGGTTGTTTGGGGCATAGGCATTTTAGAAATAAATAGTTTGATTAATTTTAACCTCTAAGAATGTCATCTGTGTTTTAAATCTAAATTTTTTTTGTAACACACCCTAGGGATTTCAGAGTCTGCTGGCAGGCAGACATTTCGTAACAGTATTTTCTGGCACAGTCTCATGGGAAGTACAAAAGACGTCCAGTAGGGCTAACGCCAAGAAGTTAAGGTCACTTGGAAAAAAATATGGTCACTTGTGGTTATAGTGAATACAGTTAAACTTACTACTGCATTTATAATTAAATTCATATTTGGATTTCTCATAATTGGTTGCTGATCTAAATATTACTGTGATATCAAATGTTTTAATAAATATAGAAAGTTCTATTATATAAGGGGGATACAAAGAGAACAAGATATATGTGTATCTGTGCTACTGGTTTTTGATAGATTTCTCCACATTATATGTAAAATATATATATTGTTCACATGTCAAAATGTCCCCACGAACAAGGAGATTGCTATGATTTGCGGCCTAGGTTGGAGGTTACGCACAATCCATCTGTTTGTTCTTTAGGAGCGCATCATATTATCTAGAAATGGCTAGACAGATGATAGAACAGACTTTGGTCATGAGCTTACTTCAGTGTGGTTCTATCAAAAACCAGTTGTGTCACCTTAGATAAGTAACTACTTTTTAAGTCTCTCTCCTCATCTATAAAGCAGACAGAAAAGGAATAATCTTTCATTGATGGAATAAGGATTACAAATGAGTTAATGTGAGGCTACTTTATAAACTGTATAGGATCACATTACACAACAATTAGAATTATGAACAGCTACCATCATGACTATATTTTATGTCAATGTTCCTGACATACCACTCTTAAAAATAGAAGTATTTTAAAAAATCATGATCATATAGTTTTCAGTGTTCATTTTCACCAAGATTTTCAAAACACAGATTTTGTTTATATTCTGAAGCTAATGAATACTTTTAAAAACCCTACAGCACAAAACTACAGTAGCATAAACAGATGAACAGTAAGATAGTCAGAAGTATTTTAGTCAAGCAATACTTGCGGAGCAACAGACAGGTGAGCATAGAAGTTGAATTACATAAAGTGCTGAGTGTGTGAGGAATACTCGGCTTGTGAGGCTAAGATGTGCACAAGAATTGAGAACAATGAAGGGAGAAATCTGTCCTTATTTCATCGGGTCATGGCTTATGTCTAGATGTACCCCGAATCCTCACGGGGTCATCATTAGGGCTTCAGATCTTCCCTGTATGAACATGAATGTGGCCATCTTTTCCACAATTGGAACACATTAAATTCATTAAAATGAGGCACCACTGTGATTATGCTTTTAATAACTATTCAAACTTCAATGGCAGACGAAAAGGAAAAGGGGTCTAAAATTTTACATATATAATATTTTTCTAATGAAAATAAAATAGACATGCAGATTTCCAAAAAAAATAAAAACAATACTATTTCACTGGAGGTAACACTTTACATTTTAAAATAAAGTTAAATGAAGAACTATGGAATGTTGATTTTCATAGTTGTATTTTTGAGCTCAAACCAACGTTTTCTAGGACTTGCCTCTTGTAATCTAAAAACAACGGGGATTTTCTTTTCTGTGCAGGCAGCGATGAAGTTATCGGGGAGGAGCTGTCCGTCTGAAAGGAACTCATCATCCTTTCCTTGATCAATCAGTATGTCCAGCTGAGAACCTGGGTAAGACTTCACCAGATGAGTTGCATCGTAAGTCTATAAAAAGAGAAGAAACATTAGTAGAAAAAATGTATTTTTAAACTGTCTCCCATGATTTGATACCATTAGAATTTAGCTTTATGGTTTTTATCACAGATAGTTATCCTTTAATATCAGTAGGGGGCTGGCTGGCTCCAGGTTCCCCAAAGACGCCCAAATCTGTGGATGCTCAAGTCCCTTAGGTAAAATGGTACACTATTTGTATGTAACCTATGAACATTGTTTGATGTGCTTTAAAATCATCTCTACTACATACTTTAAATCATCTTTAGATTACTTACAGTACCTAATGCAATGTGATAGCTGTTATACTTCATTCTTTAGGGAATAATGAAAAGGTCTGAGAAGTCAGTACGGATATAATTTTTAAATTTTTTTGGTAAAATTAAAAAATATAAAACCTACAAATATGGAAGACTGAGTTTGTACAGGCTTTTCTAATTATTCTCAGCTCTCAAGCCTTAACTTGAGAGGGCCAGGAACCTAACAGTGACAAGGGTACAGCTTCTTAACAAATCCGCAAGCTGAAGAACGAGTATTAACAGTCACTCAGTACCTACCTTCCATTTACTTTCATCTGTTCCCAAATATCCAGTAAAGGCTTTTCTGCCCAAAGCACTGAGCACTGGGTTGCAAAGTGGAGCAAATGCTGACACAGACTTCAAAAACAGAAGAATTGACAAGTTACATCTTGCTGAACCAAATACAGACATTTGCACCTAGCTTTAAAACTCTAACAAGAACTGTTGTGAGTTTCCTCCTGATGTATTACAGAACTCAAACAGTACTGCAGAACTCATCACAGTATCTTTTGTGTATTCTATCAAGGGAGCTCCTAAATGTAGCTACTCAATGCAAAGCAATGCATTGCAATTTAATTAACGTACAAATGAAAGTTTATATTCAAGTTACTACTTTTTTCCGCTAAAAATTGATCTGTAGTAATAAAAAATTACATCTGAGACATTATTTCTCTTAAAAAGTACCAAGAAAGCAGTAAAGAATGCCTTTATACTGTATGTGACTGAATTTCTAACACAATTTTGTCCTTTGTACAATTCTGTATTCCATAGGACAAGATACACAGGTAAAATTTCTCAGTGCAAGACTTTTTATCAATGTATATATTTCACAATCTCTACTAGTTTCTGTAAAGGGCAAAAAATTTAAGTTGACCTTTTCAACTTCAGACAGTACATTGACTACCGTATATAAAAGCATGGAAAAAGAAAAGCTTTATTTTATAAAATTGCTATGAGGAGTATTTTCATGTCTCAGCAGCACACATGAAATGATTCAGAAGTCTTTCCTATAGGAAACAAATGGATTAAACAAATCTTCAAATAATGAATGATTCTAACTGTAAAATCAGAAGCAATCCTAAGATGATCACTGCTTTAACATTTCCTTCTTGGAACTCTTGTAATACGCTGCAATGTACTATATGATTCTCTAAATACAGTTGGCTATTCAAATTTGGCTCACTTAAACCACAATTATGCAGAGGTGGAAAGCTTCAAATAAAGAATGGAAAAGGCTGAGAGTGCCTTTTTTCAATTAAATTATATTAAATTTTCATTAGATCACATTAAGACATAAAATCCTCAAACTTTTACCAATCATGAATACTTTCCTTTACCTTGGAAAACCAAAGTCAACTTTACAAAGATCTTTGCTAAAAATATAAATAAATGATACACACTATCACAGTAACATTAATCAAGAATAATATCCCATGGGGGGGGGATGTGCCTTAAACTATAATTTTGAAGATAAGCTACATTTTATAATATTTCTGTTAGGCCAACAAAAAACCCCTGTGAAGGAATACACAGCTTCTGACTCTGTAGCACACATCATGTTATCACATTTAATACTCTCTGCCAACCTGTCCAGTTTTCCAATCCTAGAAAACTGTGGTCCTGATACAAAGATGACAGTATCATAATTGCATTCTTTGAAAGTTCCTAATACTCTTATCATTCAAGAGAAATATTTGTCACTAGAAACTTAGGTAATCTTACTTTGTATTTTCCAGGGTTTTTCAAAGCACAAATCAGAGCTCCATGGCCTCCCATGGAGTGGCCAAAAATAGACATCCTTTGTGGGTCCACTGGAAAATTGGCATTTATGAGTTGGGGAAGCTAGAAAAAATTCAACAGCGTGACAGAAGAGCAGAGAAAATAATTTTAGACTTTTTAAAAGTTATGTAAAACAATTACATAATCAATACCTTTAAATCATATTCTTACAATGTTTGAACTGACAAAGATTAAAAGAAAAAAATCTTAGGAAGACAACAGTTATTAACGCATTCACTGGAGAATATATGGCAGACTTCTTTTTGAACGGGCTTTCAAGTACGCTGTTCAGGCCTGCGCTGAACTCACAATTCAACAGTTTCTCAGGTAGCTGGGATTACCAGCACGTCCCACCACATCCACGGGGGGAAGTTAGGAAGACGATGCTTTTTAAATGCTTCATCTGGTAACTTCATTTGGGAAAAAATCTAATAGAAAATTCTCAGGGAAAAAAATGTGTACAAAGATAACCAATGTAATACTTGTTATGATAAAAAAAATCTTAGTAAAAATTAATTGTGGCATTGACACAATATTATGCAATTCTTAAATTAAAAAATATTTTATAGAACTAAAACAATATGATAAAAAATGTTATAACTGTGAAAATTAAAGATAGAAAAAATCTGGAATGTAATGTAACATAACTATGGTCTAGGGTCTAAGAATAATGGATGATTGAGGGCAGAAAAAAATAGCTTTGTGGTAGAATGCTTGCCTAGCATGTGTGAGGCCCTGGGTTACCCAGCACCAGCGAGGAAAAAAGAAAGAAGAATTATACGTGATTCAAATTTTAATACTGCTTTTGAATTTTTATGATGTATATGATAAAATCATAAAACTTACATAAATGAAAAAACTATACATATTTAAATACTTAAAGAAGTTATGCTTTATCATTTATCCTTTCTAACTAATCTTTGGCTTATCACTATAAAATACCTAAAAGAATCAGCTACTGGGAAATGATAGGTTGTTTCAAATATTTTCGTTTTCCATACAATTATTTGAATCTTTATACGCGGTTATTGCTTGTGTTCAGATGTCCTCCTAGAGCCTCATGCAGTCGGGGGGCTTTCTCAGAGGTGGCTGGGGCTACTGTGTGGTGACGGAACTGATTCACAGTGCAATGCCGGGCTCAGGGGCACTTCCTGACCTAGGTGTGCTGCCTGCCCTAAGCAGTCGGGGTAAGATAAAAAGGGCAGAAAGACGCTGGTAAGGCCTCCTGCTTGCTTTTGCTGTGTTCTGCTTGCCACGAACTGATTCTCCTCTGCAGTGCCCCTCTGCCAAGCCATGCTACCTTGGGCCGGGGATTTAGCTCAGTGGCATAAGCGCCTGCCTGGCAAGTACGAGGTTGTGAGTTCGATCCCGGTACCAAAAAAACACAAAAAACAAAAACGATATACTGCCTTGGAGCCAGCCAGTTATAGATTGAGCCCTCTATAAGCTGTGATAAATAAAGCTTTCCCCCATTAACTTTAGGTGTCAGGTATTTTATCTCAGCAAGGAGAGAAAAGTAACTAAGACAAATATACATTGAATATTAATTTAAATTATAGCAAACAGGACTATAATACTAGTAAACTTTGGAATTTTCACTAAGATAATTTATAAACATGTATAAAATAAAGTTGTCATTCTATAATTTAGTTTAAAACTCTCAGGACCAGAAGGCCTATGGCATAAAAATTAAACTCTTGGCGGTCATCAGTTAATAGGTACAATACAAATTAAATTACCTCTTCTGTTACGTAAGCGTACATCCTGTAGTTTGTTTTCCAAGGCTCTTCAGTAGCATTCACATAAAACCCCGCGCCAGTGCCGAAGTCCCAGTGATCATCTTCTCCTTTAATATTGCATTCACCTGTCCAGGAGAAGTCCCAGGCTTTCATCTACTCTGTAGTAACTCCCATGTTTAATAATACTTCTAGATGAATGTACAAGTCCATTGGCATTACTGCTCTTCCTCCTACACTGTAAGCCTTTTCTTTTTGGTAAACTATACTTTCTCAACCTGTCTTGAATGGGACCAGTTCTGGCAGTAAAGTCAGAGAAGGAAGGACTTAAAAGGGCTTATATTCTCTTTACCTTTCAGAACTGTGTAGAAATCCCTTCTTGTGGAACGTCGCTGGGACTGCTCTCCTTGAAAGACCATTTTGGCTAAACCTGGCCCTAACTTCATTTGTTGATACGTATAGAGTTGGCTAGGATACCCCCTACATTGGCTTTAAGCAAGGCAAATGGGTACAGTCAGGTGCTGCTGTGTGGCCCTTGAAGCAATGTGATAGGTCAGTGAGGCTGGCCCACAGCTCCCAACTTGCACGCCTGAGGCCCAGAGATGCTATCCTGCTGGCTGAGCCTGGTCAAAAAGAACCTGTCAAAAACCAGTGAAGAAAGAACCTGAGACATCTTAGGGCATGAAGGCCGGATATCAAAGCTGACGCACAGACCCGAAACAGTTTAAGAGCTTTTTAAATTTTTATAATAGGAAAGGAAGCTCATTTAGTATTATTATTATTATTTGCTTTAGAAATAATTTTGAGTTGAAGATACTTCCTAAAACTGTGTTATGCAGATTTCTCCAATCTTAGGGGCTCCTGGAATCCAGTAATCTTTCTGCACACCTCCCTGCATCCTCAGAGGTACTTCTGTGCCTCCTACCTAGCCCAGCTCACAGTACTCACATTCTCAGAATCACTCAACTCAAGCCTTTCCCCTCTTTGAATTAATAAAACTCGGTGGCCCTGAATCATGGCCTTTGTGCTGGCTAGCCATTGTTTTGACTGGACTTAAGAGATCCTCTTGGCTCCCCACCACCACAGATATGTGTTTGTCTCTTTATTCACACTGTGGGTTGCACTGGAGGAGGTAGACTGGAATTTACTCGGTAGAATTACACTAACTTTTCCCTGGGATTACAAATATAAACTCTTCCAGACTGCAAGGACTGCGATGAGACTGGCAGAACAGGATTTTTACACCTTCTCTGAGGACCCTTCCCTACTACTTGCTAATCCTTTTTTAATTCTCTCTACAACTATGACCTTAGAAGGAAAGGCAGGCACGTGTTTCTTCTCTAATATAGTTTAAAATCATTCCATCCTGTTTCCCCTCTTTATTCACAGCATGGTCATTCAGTCAAGATGGCACTCGAAACACTAAGAAATAACAGCAAAATATAAAAGGAATTGTACAATGCATATTAGATTGCTTGTAAGTTAAGAATTACATGACTTAGATCTTTTTAAAGGATTTCTGGAACAAGGGTACTTACGAGGGCTGGTATCTGGAGCGATGACAACGAGGCCGTGTTCTGAGGCAGCTTGATGGTAACCAGATTTTGTTATAAAATTCTGTTCTGTGCAAGTTAAACCTGAAGATCAAACACACTGTTATCTCATGCTACACTGTGTAGATTAAAAGCTTTACTTTTTATAACAGGAAAGCAAGCTCATTTAGTATTTTTTTTTTGCTTCAGAAATAATTTTGAGTAACACACGAACATTGCTTTCTTAGAAAATTTTCAATAGTATTAACCCAAGAACTGCTTTAGATTGAATGATCCCATAACTACCCTCCTAAAGTCACTTACTGAAGTTTCAATTATCAAAATTCTTGGAAATTTGGAATTTTCTAAAACTATAGAACAGTCAAACTCTAGATAGGGGGCATATGCTTGATATTAAAATAGTTCCAGTTAGGTATCAGCAAACATGCTAATTAAACATGTGACTAGTTATGCATTAAAATATAAGTATTCACAGTAAGTGGGCTAATATGACTATAATAAAATTTTTTAAAAAACTTATTTTTTACAAACAGATAGTTCTCAGCAACAAAATTCAGCCCATATTTTTGTATCTCTCACTGAACTAAAAAAGAGAGCAATGGTAACCTTCCTTAATTCAGTTTTTAGAACCACTTCTCATTTTTCCTAATACTGAATTTTTCAGTCATGTGATAAAGAGATGATATAATTTTTCATTGTAGGTACTTAAGACTATTACGATGTAAGAATGGCCAAGAATGAACTCGCAACAGATGCTTGAGGTAAATATTACTTTATGCAATAACCTTTTTCCAGTGGTCAATATTAAATGTCCCATTATATTTGATAATTAGTGACATCCAAGCTTACTGACTATAAATAAACTACAAAATACTTTTATATTTGCTAATTTTAACAGTGCAGTGATTTATAAAGCAGTTGTTCATGAATATTTGTTTGGGAGTTTTTTGGTAGATACTGGAAATCAAATTCTTGACCTCACACCTGCCAGTACTGTGTCGTTGAGCTATATTCCTGCGCTAAAAACAATGTTTTGTTGTTGTTGTTGTTTTGTGCTGCTTGGGATTGAGAACATTTGTTAAATTAGAAATAAGACACAAAGTTACAAGTTTCAGCATGGGAGTCTATGGTTAAATTCCATTAAGAAACACAGACTCTCACCATCACGGCAGACTAACAAGTGCCTACCACATTCTTTTTTCTGTATGCTTTCCAGAAATGTTAGAGCCATATCATGTGCTTAATAAAATGTACTAAAGGAGGCAGAGTAATAGTATTAAAAACATGGACCGATTTCAGATAGGACTTGGTTCTAAGTGTTACTCGCTATCTACTATCTTGACTGATTCTCAATTCTTTCATTTGAAAGATGGGATCACCATGAGTTCCAGGCCAGCCTGCTCTACATAGCAAGACTCAGTCTCAGAAAACAAATACATAAATAAAAGAACTAAAAGTGGGGACAGCACCGACTCATTCTACATCAGAAGACGACTAGGTATTACTGTATGATCACACACAAAGATCTTCCAACTGTGTCTAAGACATGGTGCAGTCTTACACTCACAAATCCACAAAGTTCACTTTTTTCTAGTTGAAACAAATTCTTTAAGGTAGAAGGAAATAAATCAAGCTAGGTTAGATAGAACTATTCTGAATAGTACGTAGTTACTAATTAAAACCTGCTTGATCAACATCTCTTTTAAATGAACAACTAAAAATTTTTTTGTAATACTGAGGTGAATTCAATGGTTGTTTGTATAGCCAACATTACACTGTCAGCTCTAATTTTAAGAACATTTTTGTCACCTCAACAAGAAACACCATTAGTAGGCACTCTTTAATCAATCCCAATCTTCTTCCTTAACCCTAGGCAACCACTATTCTATTTTTGATCTATATGGGTTTGCCTATCCTGGGCATTTCCTATAATGGAATGTTATGAGTGGGTTCTTTCATCTTGCATAATGGTTTCAAGGTTCATGCATGTTTTACCATGTGTGATGACTTATTACAGTACTTCTTGTTTCAGAATAACATGGATATAATCTTTGCCAAGTTTTCCTTTAACTTACTTGGCAAGTGAATTTGAAATGCTTGTTACCATTCTCAGACAATCTTTTTTATTTTCCCAGAAAATCAAGACTTAATTCCCAAAGTTTATATAGTTTTTAGCATCTCACTGTATTATGATTTGAAATAAACAAACAAAAATTCTGTATTTTAAACTCTTAAAGTTCCAATGATTATATCTTCTTGATTCAATTTTGGTTAGGAATCTGGGTCCTTAGTATAGTGCCTATTACACAATACCCTGCTATTTATCTGTGTTTTTAATCTTTAACCAAAGTTATGACTTTAGAGTTCTCACCAGAAACAAAACGCAGAAAGAACAGAAAAAAAAAAAGAGTCCAAAAACCACTAAGTAATATTAGGCAGTATATGTCTTCTCTGATCTTCAGTTTCTTTCCATGAATTACGTGATTTCCAAGATCAATTTTATACAGTATATTTTCTAAAATAATTAAATTCCTAATTTTGTTGTATTGTTCTTCTAGTAAAATCAGTGGTCTTCATTTAATCACAGAAATGTCTTCCTCAGTTAAAATCAGATACACATTTCTTTTTACTTTTTAAAATGAAATGTGAGGCTGGGGATGTGGCTCAATGGCACAGTGCCTGCCTGGAAAGCACAAGGTCCTGAATTCAATTCCTACTACCAAAAGGGGGGGTGGAGAGCAAAGAAAAAGAACTGTGCTCATTCTTGTTTTCAAAGATTGGTTTTTGGGGCTTATCCTTAGTGAAATACTACATTCATAGGCAGGATCTGTTAGAATACTGTAGGAACAATTTTTAAGGAAACAGAACAATTCAGTTGTTTTAATTCTTTCTCTGAAACACTTTCTTCTAAAAGTAGGACGCTAATATCTTGTGACAGTTACCACAGAGGTCCCAAACTACTTGTATCGGTGTCTTGCTCTCTCACAATCAATTCTACATCTGACTAAGAAGCATTAGTGTTACTTACGACTTTATAGATTGCTGCCAGAGAAGCTCTGTAGTACCAAATTAAAATATTATATAGAATACTGTAGACATTACTAATTGTGGTTTTTAATTATGTATCATGGTGCCCTAGTTTCATTTGACTGGTCAAATCATTATAAACTAAAGATGCTTGAACAGTTATAAATTAACTTTTCCAAACTCTTATCACTGAGTCCAGAACTTTATATTCTCTGTCAAATTACTTGGTCTTATTGAAAAAAAAAAAGTGAAATAAATCTAACTCCATAGGTCTCAAATTATTCTCAAGGTAAAGATTTACAAAGCAGACTATGACAAGCCTCTACAGTGTTTCATAAGTGGATTAGAAAGCATATTAGTAAGGCAAAATAAAAGGGTAAGTAAGATAAGCCAATCAAAAGAAATAAATTCCTTTATAAAACTCAAAACACGTAATACTCACCAGAGAGCCAATACAGGGCAGGGCACTTTCCAGTTTCTGCCTTTGGTGGTAAGTAGACAGCAAATTTCATTTTACATTTTAGCTCCACACTATAATTTTAACAACAACCATCATGACAAAACATCACTCTCAAGACAGAAGCAAAATAATTGAGTACTATATAAAAAGATATATAGCATAGGTCCAAAAGCAATTTAATATCCAAAGTAAACAACACCATCAAACATTTAAGGAAAATGCTTTGTCTCTTGAATAAAGAATTGGGCCAGTTTAACATACTGATTTATTAACCAACTTTACTCTCTGCTTTATGTGGCAGTCATTTTGTATGGAACAAATAAATATAAACGATTAATGCAATTCTTAATGTATCATTTCCAGTCTTAAAATAAAAAATTCTTTTCTAAAGAGATGTTATAGAATAACGAATCAGCTTTCTTAAAAAATGAATCTGAAGATCCTAAGTTACATATTGTTCATGGGTACTGGAAGGACGACATCTTTAATTTGCTCTTTTGTCACTAATAATTTATCACCATCATAACAACCAGGTTTGGTAAGCACCACAGTATTTTCCTATGTAAACTATACTTCACGTCAATGACTTTTCATGGATTTATTTTTTAAAAAAAACCATACAAATGCAAGAAAATTTACTACACTAAGTTGTCTGTAATTAACTATAAATATGGTAAATACTTGTACAAACTTTCTGGAAAACTAGTGTTCCCCTGCCCCGCCTTTTAATATGCCACATTGTAGTGATAACTGACTTACTTCTTTTAGCCAATGTTTCTGGCTTTCACCTTTACATCCTAAGAATATGCTTTCACTGCTGCTTTGCTCTGTTTTAGATAATACCTGAGTGCTCACAACAGCAGGATTTACTCCCTCCCTGCCTTTGTTCTCTCCCTACTTTCTTCCTCTCTTATCTTCTCAGTATATAATTTTAGTGAATCAACATCAAGAAACTGTTATCCAAAAATAATCCATGTAGTTTATGGATTCCCTTTCCTGTTCATTGAGTTAGTAACTTTCTATTTTTGTTACTTGGCTGTGTTGATGTTTTAGGTACAGACTCCCACAAGACTCCATCAATGCTAAGGGCAAGTTTTCTGTATGCATCTCTCCATTCTCTGCAAATGCTGGCTTCTACCTTTCTAGCCTATTTTAAGTATCTGTCTAGCTGATGATTAAAAGGCAAAAAAACTTTTCGGCAGGTGTTCTTAGGTCTTCAATTATTGTTAAATAAGATGAAATGTTTTCTTTCACAGTATAACCATATCAGATCCATTTCTGATTCCAGGATATTTATTGTAAATCAGCAAACCAAGATAATATAATCTTGTTATAGGTGGTTGGTACTGTAAGACTTTTCTTGTACACTTAAAAATTAACAGCTTTAAAGTTTTTTTTTTTTTTTTTTGTCTTTTTCATTTTTACCGGTACCGGGGATCGAACTCACGACTGCCTGCTTGCAAGGCAGGTGCCTATGCCGCTGAGCTAAATCCCCAGCCCCCAATTTAAAGTTTTTTAAAAAGAAAAACACAAGAGTGGCAGAAAAAAATTTGGTAAGAAGGCAAATTTCATATTAAGTGTTGTTACTACAATTTAGTAAAAAGATTTCTCTCAAAGTTACAGTATAAATCAGATCTGAAATACATTTAACAGTCGTATCATTAACACTTTAAAAATAGCATTATCCAGTAATGTTCGGAGGTTTCCACCTTCATTATGTCACTATGATGCTGCTGAACTGTTGAAAGAATCTCATGCAGAGATCTGCTGTGGCCAATCTATATTATCACCAATTCAACATCAAATTCTTGCTCTTCTGGTTTCAAAAATTTCCCTCTCAACTACAGACAATTTTATTAACTTCATTTTCTTAAAAAGAAAATTTCATCAAGCAGTAGCGTCTGTCTGGCAGAACTTCCCACTATTTTCTGACTTGCTGCTGCCTTGGGGTCACCACTTTTATCCTGGAAAATCCTTTCTCCTCTGATCCTATTTTCTGATCCGATGCTCTCAGCTTTCCTGCTTTAGTTCCTCATTTTGATGGAACTGAATGCGAACTGTACATATGCAGGAAAATGTCTTCATTGTGTTCTCACCCTTCATTGTATTCGATTTTGTCTACTAACTATGTAACAGGGCATACAGGATATTTGAATTTTAAAGGTACAGCTGCTCTCTCTTCCTGAATCCATTATTGTTGACTTATGTCTTTGAAAATTCTTCATCCATTTTACCTCTCTGAATGTTTTGAGATTGTTCCTTTGTTCCCAATGATCTAGTTCTTCACAGTATCCTTTGTGCTTCTAATTCTTAAGCTTCATGTCACTTCTCTTGCTTTCTCTTGCCAATGCTAACAATTTAGCTTTCTAGGTTTCGCAAAGTGAAGTAGTGCCTTTCCACCTGTTTTCCTAATTCTAAAATATTTTTCTAGCTCCTGTTCCTTGCTTCTTTATCTACTCTGTACTAGTTGGAGGAATCTGTGTAAAACACCTTTACTTAAAGCTGTATCAGTCAGATTTGGGAGTTAATGAAACGAAATACATGTGTTTAATTTGTCATCTTAACAAGAAGTCAGGTATCTTTTTTTTTACATTGAAAGATATTCTCAGAATTTTTAATGGCAACATAGGTATTTGTGAAATTTCACAAGACCATTAAATGAAATCCTGAAAGTGCTCTGCTCAGGCTCTCATATCTCACAAAGTTACACAATTCAAACCTGGCCAATAGTTTGGTGAAACTGCGGACTAGCTAATGAGGGTGGAGCTGAAAGCCAAATTGTGACATACCACAAGAGACGGGTCAGGATTTCTTTAAACTAGAACAAACATTAAAATGGCATGAGTGATACCTACCTTTCATGTTCAAAAACTTTCTGCAATCCCCCGAAGCACTTGTTGCTGGAAATCTGCTTCAACGCCATTCTTCTCCTATTAGTGAAGATTAAATTCATTAATAGTTGAAGAATTAGTTGTTGAAAAACTTGAAACAATACTGTTTTCAGATCAATTATCTAAACAAATAACTGTTTTCTGCCTCAAAATTTTTTCACAATCCACTTTCCTAAATAATATAAAAACTTTTTATACACAACAGTTGCCTTACTTGCTACTAAAAAACAAGAGTACTCTGGTATATCATTAGTTATTAATAAGCATTTTTGTTATTGTTGTGGACTTTTTCATATTCATACACACATAACTTTAAATTTACACAGAAAATACCACATATTATCTTTTAAAAATAAACATGGCGAAAACTGAAAAAGCAGGAGTCAAACTGATTGTGGTGTGTAGCTCTGAAGGAGGGATTCCCTTCTCATTTCTAAAAGCACTGCTGCGTTAAAACACAGGCCATAAACCCTACACACTAAATAAAAATCTTCCAATATTACCACTCTGGTAGTCTTTTCAGTGAAATCATTACTATATACTGATTGGTATATAGTAGTGGTCTTTTCGGTGAAATGTTTTACTATATATTGATTGAAGCTTTAGTATTATACTTACAGAGCAATGTGATCTTAAAAACTAACTTTAAAAATACCTTCACTGTATTCTAAATACGACTAATTAAAAACTTATCTTCAATCTCTTCAATAAATTCAAATAGTCTTGCACTAAAAAACTGGGATTTGAACTCAAACACCTGACATCTGCATTCTTATTCTTAGCTGTCATGTTGCCCTGCCCCTCTGGGAAATCTCTATAAAGTATGCTCTGCTTTAAGGCACACAAAGATTGAGCAATTCCGTAGGATTAAGGTATTACAATTACACGCAGAAATTACTTGTTAATTATAATTTATGTTTTAAATCTATAAAAATTAGTTGTTCAATCCTAGTGTTCTAGGTATTATTACTGTATATTAACTTCATTTATTTATGATCTTATCTTAAATAATGAAATTACATACTGCATAATTTTTTTATACATTTTTTTTTTTTTATCTTTTTCATTTTTATTGGTACCGGGGATCGAACTCATGACTGCCTGCTTGCAAGGCAGGCGTTTATGCTGCTGAGCTAAATCCCCAGCCCCCATACTACATAATTTTAATATTCAAACACATGAGAGCAAAGAATACGGAATTTTTTTGGTACTGGGAGAATTGAACTCAGGTCCTCATGTTTGCCAGGTAGGTGCTGTGCCACTGTGCTATCCTGGCCCAAGGAATAAAATTTACTTGCTAAATTATTTGACAAGGAAATCTATCTCCTCAAAACAAAGCACGTACGTTAGTCTTCTTAAAACAAAGCACAGCACACTGAAAACATATCTGATACATGAAAGGTACCTAATAAATACTGTATTCATTGAATTAATGAATAATGGCATTTGCTTTTACAAGTCAAAATTATGTAAAAATTTTGAAAATTAACTTGTTCTTTATATCATTCTATGCTTTATTTTTAATCTATTTAAATGAACTACAAATAGTCTATCTCCTCTGCTCTTTGAATGTTGCTTAATTCGAATTCAAAACCAAATACTTTTATGTAGCCAAAAGAAGCAGTGTTAAATAGTTTTAATTGGTAGCATGACTTTAAAACTCAAAGCTTCAACATTTTTTTCCTAATTACCTGTTTTATAGGCTAACTTCAATTATAAATCAAGAAAAATGTTAGGGTCAACAAAAAAATGACAAAAACTAATAATTAGATACACACTCATGATATACTATTATACAGTAGGCAGTTGTATTTTCAATAAAATTTTTCTATTGAAAATTCACATGCTTTAAACCAAGTTAGTGGATATTTCACTTAACTTTCAGATAACAGAAACAACAAAACTTAGGTTTACCTGTTTAATTGGTATTTGGTTGTCTGTACCAAAGGACCACCCTGAAGAAAAGACCAAATGGATTACAAACGGGATGTGTTTATACACATTAAATGTTATACCGTAGATGTGAGCACTCCCACATTCTTGAGAAACATTTTTTTAGGAAGTAGGTGACTCTCTATGGCAGTATGAAAAATGTAGCTGGTGGGATGGCATCACCCCTTCATCTCGGCCTTCAATGTATTACTTTACAGTGTAACAACTGCTTGGTCCAGGACAGACTGACTGTATGATAGTGGCCTGATATTAGAGTTGCAAAATTCTTATCAGTTACTGAACACATGGTTGAAGAAATAGTAAGAAAATAAAAAAATTGAAGAAAAAGAAAAAAATAAACTTCCAAGAGAAAATTCCAGTGTGGAAGTTAAAAGGAAATTTTTGCAGACCTCAACATGCTTCTTAAAATCTTTACAGCCTAGACTTTCATACTACAAGTTGTTTTTATCACTAGAGTAATATTCACAGTGTATTATCTACTCTATTTCATAATCTATGAAAAAAAATAAAACAAGTAAAAGATCATGGATATATTTTTCTAAAGTGACAACTGTTCAAAAGTCCCAGGCAAGTCTCACAGAAGGGATTCCAAGAGCCTCTGTTAGCATAAGAGATGACAGCTCCATGCATATTACTCTCACTGGGATAAGAAGTCGAGGTGAAACACTGATCTCGATGATCCTGACCTTGTGCACACCTAGGCATGTTTGTGTCTTAAGTGAAAAATAAAATCTTTAAAAACAGAAAGTCTCAAAAAAAAAAAAAAAACCCAGAAAGTCTCATAGATACAGAAAAAGAAAATATTTTTGTACAGTGTTTGGGTTTTAAGCTGTTATTAACAAAGGTTAAAGAATTAAAGTTATTGAGCTAGGGATTTAGCTCAGTGGCTTAAGCACCTGCCTTGCAAATGCGCAGTCGTGAGTTCGATCCCCGGTAACTAAAAAATAAAGTTAAATAAAAAAGAATTAAAGTTACTTTAAGCTAATTATTGAAAATATATTTTAATAAATAGTATAGTGTAAGTTTACAGTTCTTTCTTTTTTTTTTTTTTTTTTTTTTTGGTACTGGGCATCAAACTCACAACCTCGAGCTTGCTAGGCAGGCGCTTATGCTGCTGAGCTAAATCCCTAGTCCAAGTTTACAGTATTTAAGAAGTCTACAGTAGTCACAGTAATGTAACAAGTTTTCTCCACTCACTGACTCATTCAGAGCAACTTCCAGTCCTGTAATCTACATTCACAGAAGCTCCCTCCATTGGTGTGTCATTTTTTAATCTCTTAAATTTCCTCCGTACTTTCTTTTTTTAATGCATAGACACACAAACACTTACCACTGTTACAGATGCCTACAGTATAGCAGTAATATGTTGTTGAGGCTTGTAACCAAAGAGCAGTTGGCTACACCAACTGTTGAAGTATATACCATGATATTCACACAACAATAAAATTACCACCGAACGATGCGTTTCTTAGAACATATTCCAATTCTAAGCCATGCGTAACAGTACCTATTTTGCCTCAAGGCCTGGTACTTGCTCAAAAACTTTTGTAGGAGCAAAAGTACTATGAAAATATTTTTTACTTCTTTAAACTTTTTAAAGTATAAAAGTTAAGAAAAACATTCAACTGCTCAAAGTGAACAAAACAGGAGTGGAGGCTAGGAAAGCAGAAGATGGATCTACCTGGCTAAGAGATGTGGGCCAAATTTGTAATGTAGGGGGCTGGGATATAGCTCGGAGGTAGAGGGTTTATCGAGCTTGGGCAGAGCTGTGGGTTCAATCCCATTGAACCTATTAAGTTTTCTATGTAGCTCTACAAGATGAGCATCCCTAATCCAAAAATCTGAAATTCTCCAAAATCTGAAATTAAGTGTTGACACGTCGTAAGTGAAAAATTCCCCTTAGTGAACTTGTCTCAAGCACAAAATTATTTAAAATATTGTATGAAATAAGGCTAAGTGCACCATGTGTGTATGAAACATAACTGAACTTTGTATTTAGACTTGGGTCCCATCTGCAAGGTATCTCAGTTTGTATTCGAAAACAATTTTAAATTTTACAAAATTCAAAATCTGAAACACTGCTGGTCACAAAAGTTTTGGATAAAGATACTCCTGTTTGTGTTTTGTTATCACTCTCTCATTCTTTGGATTTTGATGCACTTAATTCACACTCTGCTGGGTCTTAACCTGGAGCGGTCTCCACAAATCAGTGGACTGAAGAGTACCAACTGATACTGCTATCACTTTCTTGTTTACTCTCTTCAAAAAACGGCAGGATCTAGGATCTTCCCATTACCATTCTCTTCCCATATACTTTCCTCCTTGCATTCCCTAAATTTCAATTACATATTCTGAGTGGAAGGATCTTAATTTAAATCTCTATATTCAATCTTCTTTCAGCATTAATGCCAGATTTTGAAATTTCCTGCTGGACCCTTCTCCCACAATTCATCACGAGCTGGTAAAACAACGTATTTAAAATTATGCTCTTTTGCACCTCCAAACCAACGTGTTTTTTTTGCCTCCTCTTTTCAGACCTATACTTGTCCAACTTAATCTACATTTGAAAAGTCTCCTTCACCCTTTTCTAAGATATCTATCGCCATTATCCTAATTATATATAATAAAAACCTGCTACAGTCTTTCTAGTATGTCTCACTAATATCAAACTGTACAGAAACCTAAGGTTGAAGTTCACTTATACATTCAATGCATTTCCTATAAAATAGTTTCTTCTCCAGTCTAACATGACCTGAACAAAATTACTAGCCATTTTCGTACAACTTTTAATAAATGCCAACTCTTCGATGATGCCCCTGTTCAGAAATGATCTCCTGCTGCCTATCGAACCCTGAGGCCCAGTGGCCGGTCACTCCCCGGCAGGGCCAGTCCCGAGGCGCCAGGCCCGCCTACAGAGTGGCATGGGTGCCATGCACTGGGCGCCGGGAGGGCGAGTCTGCAGAGCGGGAGCTGCTCAGTGCAGTGGGAAAAGCTGCACCAGTGAAGCGGGCAACACAGATGGGCGATTCCCTGTGGGCAGCACGCCGCGCGCCCCGGAAATTACGCGAAGGAAAGGGTTCCGGGGCCGGGCGCCGCGCCCCGGGACAAGGGCCGGGACTCGGCCCGCGGTTTGGTGGCGCTCGGGCCCTGGGTCGCCGCGCTCATACCTCCTGACGTGGGCCGCACAGGCCTCGTTTCCACTCTGAACAGGAACCAGGTCACCGTTAGGGCCCTCGACAGGCTGGCGACGATACGCGAGCTCCTGCAGATTGCGCGGCTTACCTCGGAGGTCTCCAGCGGCGGTGGCGCGCTCTGAGACAGTCAAGGGGAGGGCGGGGCCTCAATATGGCCGCGGCCCCTGGTTGGCCCCGCCCCAAGGTCCGCCCATTTCCCCGCCCCTGTCCCCGCCCCTCCGCAGCCAGTACCGGCGGCAGCTGCTTCGCTCACGTCCCCTTCCCAGCCGAGGGTGGTGTTCCGCTGGCACCGATCTCTTCATCACCTGTGAGACTCCCACCCAAGAGCGCCCAAATCTTAACCCGAGGAGGCAGCAAAAAGCCGAAGCTTTAATAAATCCGAGGGCTGCCCTCGTTTAACTCTGGAAAAGATGATTTCAAGTCCCCACCCTAAATTTTTTTAGTTCGCTAGTGGTATTTGCATTTATTTGGAATCTCCAAAGCGGATATATAATAGAAACTTTATCGATGACAAATTTTCTTCCTTCCCTTAGTAAGAGTTGAACTTTGTAAGAGTTGCTGGTTGATGATTTACAGCAAAAACCACCACCACCCTTTTACCTTTTGGTCCTCCAATGATGTGTGCTTCGCTGGGGAAATTAAAAGAGTACAAAAGACTAAAAGGAACTTTCGCCAGCGTTTCAGACTACTTGGGCGTTCAGCTAGTACATTTGCGGAGGGACTCTTACCTTGGAAGGCGCCTACCCTTGATTTTACTCTCTTGATAGTGTGTCGAACCTGAACCCTAGATCTTAGTTTTTATCTGAGCTCTGCAAAATACAGTTTGTCTTGCTGAAAGGCCAGGTAGGTGAAATGGTCTGTGCGAAAACCTGCCCATTTGTATTGGTGTGGCTCAGCTCCATTTGTCAAAATAATCTTTGTACTCTCCTGACTTGTAGAATGAACTTGTGGACCTGTGAATCAGTTGATACTTAGACTAAAAATAATATTGAAGCAAAATAATATTTTTACTTTGAGAAAACATTAAAGTGAAAAAAATCGTTTTTTCTTTCTGTTCGCTATTTTTCAATGTAAATCACTGAAAAGATAATTTTCAATTTGAGTTTCATAGCCAACTCAATAAAAGAATACCCATTTTAAACTCCTTCAATACTGATAATTATTTGAAAAAATGGTGTTCATTTTTTAAACTGCTATGAGGTACAAACTAACCTCTGAACTGTGAACTTAAAGTTCTTTTCTAAAGGGGTCCTGTATTAATACAGTGTACCAACCAAAACTAAAACTTAATTCTCTGAGTAAATAAAATTGTAAAATAGCCAAAACTTCTATTTTTTTAAGTATTAGGAATATATTAGGTGTGATTGAAAAATATGATATTTAACTTTTAAAAATCTTACCCAGTAAAAGGCACATTTCCATTAATTCCTCTCAAAACACACCGACCTGTTTCTAAAACAGTCATCATTCTTGTACCTTTTTGAAGAAAATCTTCTTTCATGAGGGCATTGTTACCACTGCCTCAATGCCCTGAATGTATTCAAGACATTTACCTTTAGAGGTTTTCTGGCCTTTGGGAAGAGCCTCAACATGCCGACCCAGTGAATAAGGTAGATGACATGCTGCAATCTTTTCGAGTTTGCCTTTCTGTTGGATGGCATTTTGTAGTAGCATTCAGTCTTTTTTTTTTTTTTTCTTTTTTTTTTTGTCACACCTCTTAAATACACAAAAGAGGACCTCCAGAACTGCTTCGGAAAGTGGCAATAATTTGGAATAAGTGTGCTCCACGTGAGAGGTAGTATTTTGAGGGAGATTAGTGGCAATGTTTCTTTTACAGTAATACATTTTAAAATTTAGATATTAAATGAATATTTTGTTCAAATCTCATACCTGAGACATTGAAGCAACATAAGGTAAAATCAGAAAAGGTGACGTTCTGATTAAGAAATTGTAATAAAATAGATTAATATTAACTGCCTAGAGAAATAATCCCAACATTACTTGTAAATGTGTGACTAAGATTTAGGGATTCTCGGTTTGAACTAAAATGAGTAGGATATCATCTTAGGAAGGCGATAAAGGGTAGCCATGAAGGTGAGAAAAACTGAAGTCTACTTAAAATTTGTGGGAAAGGAGATTATCTTAGTACGTCATGACTGCTGTAACAGTCAGGTCCACATGCTAGATAGCTGAAGAGAAATTTATTCCTCATCATTCTGAGGCTGGAAAGTTCGAGATTGAGTTTTTGATCAAGATCAAAGTCACTTCTCCCGATGAGGGCCCTCTTTCTGGTTTGAAGAAGACTGTCTTCTTGCTTCCACCCTACTTGCATTCCAGAATTCTGGTCCCTTTTTCTTCTGATAAGGTCATTAGTCTTGCTCAGAACTCCACCTGCAATCAATCAGTATCTCCCAAGGGCCCACTTCCAAATATCACCAGATTAGAGATTTGGGTTTTAATATATGAATGTTAGGGAATGTAAACATTCAGTCCATAGCAGCTAATTTTTATAATATCTAGATAGGAATCAAACCTGGAGGTAATAAGATATACCAGACATCAGATAAGGTATTTGAAAATTCAGGCTGCTCTATAGACTAGTTCAGAGTTTTGTTTTTTTTTTTTTTTTTTTTTTTTGGTGTCAGAGATTGAACTCACGACCTTGCGTTTGCCAAGCAGGCATTTATGCCGCTGAGCTAAACCCTGGGCCCCAGTTCAGAGTTTCTTAACTGTAGTATTATTGACATGTTTGAGGTTATCACGTGCATTGTAGGATGATGTTTAGTAGCATCCCCATCCTTGAGTAGGTAGATGACAGTAACACCCCAACAAGGTTCAATTCCTAGAATGTCTCTAGACATCCTCAGATGTCCACTGTGTGGCATGTAAATGGAGCTCTAATAACCTGATTCTAAAATACATGCATGAACTGTAAAATTAGTAAATCTAGTACTGAGTCTAGTAACATGTACTTTTAAGAGCCATAACATGTACCCCTCAAAGCTCAGTGGATTGCAACCATGAAAATATTAATAAATCACTGATTTTGTTTCATTTCTGGAAGGCAGTTTAGAATGAACTATAAAGTGGGGGATCTAGTGCACGTCTGCCCAATAGAACCTTCCGCAGTAATGGAACTGTTTTGTGTCCATACTTCCTAATACAGCAGCCACTACCAAATATTAAGTATTTGAATTTTGGCTAGCACTAAGAACTTTAATTTTTAATTTTATTTAATTTTAAATAATTTAGGTAGCGTTTAGTGATTAATGGCACTATATTTAATACTATTTATCTAGAACTTTAGTGATTCAAATAATTTAGGAAGTTAGTGGCTGAGGCTGATTGCAAGTCATTTACCTTATTTTGATTTATACTTTTTACTGGAAACTAACAGGTGTGCAGGAAAAAGGGTCCTGGGATGCCCTGGCCATGTGCTCTTAAGAGTAGATACTCACTCCCTTCACATGAGGTTATATTTCTGTTCTCATCTTTTTTAAAAGTCTCAAAATTCCTAAATTAGGATTAGCTTCTTCACACCTTTGACTAATTTCAAAACAATGAAAATAATATATTTCTATTTTCATGGTTTTAATAAGATTCCACTTCAATTTTAAATAAATTGGATGAGATTATTATATGTTAATTATTCTAGTAGCAAAAGTATATTTGAAATGTGGAACACTTAGAAAATCAGACTAATTCGAAAAGGTAGTTAATCAATAATACTACCCTTTAGAGGAAAGTAAATTTGTTTTATGGTTCATCTTCTCCTGTTTCTCTTTTTTCCATCCTCTCTCGCTGTTCCTCTTCTTTTGCTTTTTCTTCTGGTACTGGAGATTGAACCCAGGACCTCTGTACTGAGCTAAGTTACATCCTCTGCCACTTCACTGTTGTGTACTTTAAGACAGGGTCTCTCTAAGAAACTAAATTACCCAGGGTGGGTCTCAACTTCTGATCCTTCTGCTTCAACCTCACAGAGTCGTGGGACTATAGGTATGCATCATCATGCCTGGAGTATATTTTTTGGAAATAGCAGTAAAATTTTGCACTTTGTAACATGATTATTTGATTTTTAAAGTTTTTTTTTGGTAAATTCTGATAATCTATGTTTGCCATAATGTTGTATCCACATATTTTTGTACCATTAAAAGAATCTCTGTCTGGGTATATAACTCACAAGTTCTACCCTGGCAATCCCAAGGTCCTGAGCTCAATTACCAGTACCAAAACCAACCAACCAAACAAACAAACAAAACCAAAAAAAGAAAAGTCCCGTGTAACTTAGCTTTCCCATCACTGAGATATGATACTTGGTACCCATAACTTAAAGGGGAAGTTTAATTCAGATGACAATTCCAGGAGATTCAGTACACAGTTGGCGTCTCCAAGTCAGTGTCCTCATGGGGGAAGGGCAAGACAGAGCAAAGATGCTTAGTTCATGGTGACTAAGCTAAAGAGGGTACCTGCACCAGGAAAGAAAGGGTGAGGAACCTTGTATAGTCACGCCTCCATGACCCGCCTGTACACACCCAGGTCTCAGGTGCATGCTTTACCAGTTTATGTATTGCTTAACCCAATGAAGTTGATATTTCAGGATTAATGGGCATAATACAACCCTTGTCAATTTCAAAACCAATTATACTTAATCTCCAAATGAAGACAATAGGAATTTCTAATTCTGCCTAATATAATGCTACTATCCCATATACAACTGGAAATACAATACCTTTCCCAAAGTCTCTGCACTCCCAGTATTTTTCTTTTCTTTTCTTTAATTTAAAAAAAAAGATTAAGATAAAGGAGGACATAACAAAACAGGTCAGAACAGAACAATTTAAGTAACATATTGTTTTACCACAAGACAACCCCACATAACAGTAGCTACTGTAGTGTCTCTTTCCTTGAAATATTTGAGTATACCTTCATATACTATAGTATCAAACATGACAAGACAGTATAAAACCAGTCAAGAGAATGAAAGTATTACAGGGTGTTGAGAACCAACTAACGGAAAATGAACAATGGTTACTATATTATCTCATCTATAAAAATTTTGTTTATATTGTCACATATAATAAAATTCAGTAAGACACAACATGATAAAACCAATGAAGAAAGAAGAACAAAAGCTTGGTAGGACTTCAAAACAAGAT